ACTCTGTGCTTGCTGCTGACCCACCCCCCGCCCGGCCGGGCCACTACCCCGAGATCCCCGCGCCCCCCATAGGCACCGGCCGTGAAGGAAGGAGCAGCCACAGCTCTGAGATCCCGACTCGTGAGCCGCATACTTCTACTCCTTGTTCTCCTCGGCCATTCTTATCCAGGTTTCCTCCCTTCCCCAGAACTGCCCTCAATCCACCCGCGGTGTTTACCGGGACTCGGGGCGGCGGCGACTTCTCAGTCCCTCGACTAAGATGGCAGCCGGTCCCGAGCCCCGACTACAGCGACTAGGGCAAGTAAGCGGCCAATGCGCAGGCGCCTCCACTCGGCCGCGGTTCAGACTACAAGCCCCAGCAGGCCTCGCGCGCCGACCAGCTAAATCCGAGTTTTCCTCCGCTTCAGGTGAGAGGGATGGCGAGAAACCCGCACCATCTGCGGACTTTCTTTTTTTTTTAACTCCCTGCCCACTAAAACTTCTAGGGCCTAGCTTGGTCCCCAAACTGTAGTGTGTATCACCTGAAAGGCGTTTAAAAACTTAAACTGCTAAGCCTTACTCCGAGTTTGTATCTAGTTCAGTAGGTATGGGATTGGGGGTGCGCGGGGTGTGTGTGGGGGGTGTCTCATAATTTGAATTTTTAGCAAATTCTCTGGTGATGGTATCGACAGTTGGGACTATAATTTGAGAGCCGTTGGACTACAGTCCTTAAGATTGCACGCTTTGGAATTACTGGGATCAAGTCTTTTTAAATTAAACAGGGTGTTCTTGGGGATAACAACTTAATGGTGCCGACGTGGCAGGTGATCTAAGAGCTGAAAAGTAGGCCCCTCATAACAAGCCAGAGAGAAACACCGTCATTATCCCTATTTTACAGGTACATAAACCAAGTTGCATGCTGGATATGAACTCAAGTAGTTGCTTTGGAGTCCAACCTCCTAAACTCCTTAACAAACTGTGAGAATTGATAGACTATGCACATAGTGACTCAGAGGCACGACTAAGAACTCAGCAGTTAGTGACCTTTGCTATTATTGTTTAGCCTGCTTCCTCCTAAGGAAAATAATATTTTACCATCTGGACATTTACTTACACTTTTAAAAGTACTTTTCAAACTACCATGTCAGTTTCTTTCCTGTGTTATACCTTAGGAGAACTTACTAAAGATTCAGGTTCCTTTCCTTAGGCTCTTACCCAATTCTGATTCTTGGTTCTCAAAATTTAGTGCTCAGCAAAATCACCTGAAAGGTTTGTTAAACCATAGATTGCTTGGCCCAATCCCCAGAGTTTCTGATTCACTGTTCTGGAATGGAGCCTGAGAATTTGCTGCTTTGTTTATGTCTTTAGGAATAAGGATTGAACCAAGGATCTGTGTATGCTAGGCAAGCAGTTTTCCACTGAGCTACTCAGGAAGCTAGGACAAGAGGATCAAAAGTTCAAAACCAGGCTGGGCAGTTTATGAGACTGTTTCAAAATAAAAGATGAAAAGGGCTGCGGATTGGAGGTCAGTGAAGTACTCTGCTTTCCATCCTCAAGTACCTTAAAAAAAAGTGTTCAATAAACTTTAGTTTTTACTTACTTATGTATTTTTGTAGTATGGGGCTGGACCCAGGACCTCTTCATTTCAGATGTTTTTATTGTTGTTTTTGCTGATGTTTTCTTTTTGAGACAGGGTCTAGCTAAATCACTAAACTGGCCAAGTGGGGTTCAAACTTGCAATTCTCCTGCCTCAGCTTCCCAGAGTGCTGAGATTACAGGCATGTGCCATCATGTCTGGCAACAAATATGTTTTGATTATAGTCATTCCAAAAACAAATGCAACTCCTCCTAAATACCAAAGATTCTCAAAGAGTAGAATGCATTAGCCCTAAAGGGCTTGTTAAAACTCAGATTATCAGGCATTGGCCCCAGAAATTTTTTTCTGGTGCTGATGATCAAAATCAGAGGCTCACACTTGCTCAGTACTAAACTGTACTCCCAGCCTTCTTTCCAAGAAAAATATCTCTTTCTCTTTCTCCCCCGCCCCTCTTCTTTCCTCTGCCCTCTCTTCTTTTCTCTCTTCTCTGCCCTCTTCACCCCCTTCAGGTCAGGGGTTGAATCCAGAGACTTGGTGTAGAGAGCATATGTCAATGTGAAGAGCAATGTGTCAGTGTGTTCCCAAGGAGGGAGAATAAAACCCCCAAGACTGACTTACTGTGAAACCTGTGTGTAACCCCCAAGAGTGAAATGAAGAGTGATATCTAACCCAACAGATGCAATGTGTGAAACCTGATATGTATCCCCAAGAGTGAAATGTGTGTGCAACCCCGATGTCTACTCAAACAGCCCCAATATGTGTGAAGTGATAAAACCCGAACCAGTGCCACAAGACCAGCTCATTTCACTCGGTGACTGACCCAGCTCGACGGCAACCTGCCAGACAAGATCTCAGATGAGGCCGAGACATCAGATGCCCGCCCAGTGTGGACCCGTGGATTGAGGAGGAGGCAACCGGATCGACAACCACAATCACCAGGAAAGGAGAAACAAAGTCGTGCTCCTCGGACTTGTGCAGGTACAGGGAGTGACAACTGGCGGGTATGAATGAACATGTTTGATGTGTGACATATATAAAATATATAAAAATCTAGCTGGCTACTACTGCTGTCTCGGCCTCCAGTTAGTGCACACTCCTCGCGACACTTGGACATACTAGGTACACACTGTAACACTAAGCTATACCCCAAATCCCAACCTCCCTAATTTTAGAAGCAATGCTACAGTCTCAAGAATAAACATTTCTAAAAATTTCCCAGGTCATGCTGATACCTAGGGATTACATTTTAAGAATCACTGGACTGTATTATCCTAACCTTGCTAATATCAACAGGGTGAATTACCTCTGATTTGGGAAGCAGTACCTACTAAGATTTAATAATTTAAGATTCAGAGACAAGCCAGGCATGGTGGCATATACCTGTAATCCCAGCACTCAGAGGCTGAGGCAGGAGGATCGCTGTGAGTTCGAGACCAGCCTGGGCTACATAGTGAGTTCCAGGTCAGTCAGTCTCAAGTACATAGTGAGACGCTGTCTCAAAAAACAAACAAACAAAAAAAGATTCAGAGACATATGGATCAAAGATTCAGTCCTTCTGTCAATAAACTTGCCAGTATAGGATGCTTGCCATTGGAAAGCCAGTTCTTGGGAGACAAAAGTTGGTAGAAAGAAAACAGTTTAATCTGAAGGCCAGCATCCCAAGAAGATAGGGATTCAGAAGAGAACTGCCTCATTTCTCCATTTCGGGTAACTCAAGGACACCAGAGGCTTTTCAAGGGAGGGAAAAGAGGATCAGGGGGCAATAAGCAGGAAAAGTAGGTCATCTTCATCTAGGGCAAATGTCTCCTTTCTTTCCTGGGACAGACACATTGTAATAGCCCTTGATCTCCAGGTGTTAGTTATAAATATGTTGTTATTCTGTTTTTTTTGTTTTGTTTTGTTTTGTTTTGTTTTGGTACGGGATCGAATGCAGGACCTTGCACTTGTGAGGCAGGCAGTGGGGCCACTGAGCTAAATCCTCGGCCCCACTCTTCTGAAATTTAAACACCACAACAGTTTAGATGCTTTGCATTAGGTGATACACAAAAATGTCTTAAAAACAAGGAGGGACGTACACATTCTATTAGCATCTATCATCTGAAGTCACCAGATGTTCTGGGTTCTGTGAATCTAAAGAGAGAGTTACTGGGCCTGGGCTTTAGCTCAGTGGCACCGTGCCTGTCTCACAAGTGCAAGGTCTTGAGTTTGAACCCCGGTGTGTGGGGGGGGTCACTTAGCAGTTAATACCTTAATCATGTAGGTACCACTTTTCTTAAGAATTTCTTTTGAATGCCAGGAAAAGGAGAGGAAGCAAAAGTAACTCTGTCAAGGATAACTTTCAAAGGTGCAGCCACTGTTACATTTCTTTGGCAGTCTTAAGCAATCACTTGAATCTCAGCAATAAAATCTCTATATAAAAATGATAGATCCTACCTCCTACAATGTTGTGAAGATTCAGGGAGATCCAGAGTAGGTGCTTAATGAAGGAGAGGCTGAGTTGGTAAAGACAATGAGAGAATCTCAACCAGGCCATTCCCTCATTCTTTCATGCTTTCAGGTTCCTTGATCCAGAATTTAGGCCAGTCTTTGCCTGGTTTAAAAAAAAAAATGCTGGAATGGTGGCTGATACAGCCTCGAGCCACCTTTACTCTCCTTCTGCCTAGGATATGTACGTCAGCCTGGACAGAATCCAGCCTTGCTAGGCAGAGCAGAGACTGGAAGCCCAAAGGAGCCTGCCACTAACACTAGCAAGGGAAGGAGTTTCCCAGACTACTTGGAAGAGGAAAGATGGAAGGAAGATGGCTGCAGAGCGGGAAGGAGTTGGGAGAGAGACCCAAGCAGCCCACTTGCCGTCTGTCACTTACCCGCTTTCCTAGCAGAGAGATTAGTCATGCTCTGTCCCCTTCTTTTCTGGAACTGCTCTGCTTTCCATTGCCAGAGGCAGGAAAAAGCTGAAAAAGCTTGATGTTTATGGAGACACTGTATGGGGCTTCAGAGAGACTGAGACCTGTCCTAAGACCTGAGTCTCCATTAGTTCCCCTCTTTGAGGGTGTGTCCTCATCTGCAAAATAAAGAATACAAGTTCTGTCCCTGGTGCCAGATCTAGAAAACAAAAATACAGGATGCTCAGATAAATTTGAATTTCAATAAGCAATGGATAACTTTTAGCATAAACATATCTAAATACTATTGCATGTAACTTATGCTGAAATGGTTTTCATTACCTAAAATTCACATAACTGGGTATCCTGTATGTTATTTGGCTTCTAAGTAGTAATCAGAGGTAGTAAATTTAAATGACTACAAAGACCAACTAGGTAAAATTAAAAAATAACACCTAATATATGTCCTTCCTTCTTTGTTTTCTTCCTTCCTCTCTTCTTTTCTTCCTTCCTTGTTTGTTGTTGTAAAACAAAATCTCACTGCGCAATTCTGGCCTCCCTGGAACTTAGTATGTTCTCCAAGCTGGCCTTGAATTTGCAATTGACCTTCCTGCCTCAGCCTCCCAAGTGCTGGGATTACAGTCATCCCAGTATTTATTTTCTACATTATAATTACAAAGTCATGTCCTGTTTTACATGCACTATTAGTGCAGTTAGAACAAGGGAGCTGAGGAAAGTACACCCTTCCACTCATCTAAATTGAATAGCACCATACAACCATACCTCTTTCCATTGTCCTAAAAGAGGTAGAGAATAACATAACAAAAACCAAGGAGACCTTTGCCCCTCTAGGTGAGGACATATGCCTGTTGGGTCTCCTGACCTTCAGTCAGCTTTACTCAAACCTTATTAAGGGTTCATGAATATGCAATAAATATAATTAAAGTCAGAGTGAATTCTGGGACAGGCATGTGTATTGAGAGCTCATAAGGTGACTCAGCACCTTGTTAATCATACTTAGAGATCCAGTGGGAGGCACCTGGGCTGAGGTGGGTATCCTTTAAATTCTGAAAACCTGATTTATCTTTGCGCAGTACTTTTTGCTTTCCTGTCACCACAACACCACTTTTCTGTTCATGCCATACTTTTGTCAGCAGGAACCTGCTCTGAGCACATTTTCCACTCTTGAGTCCTATTGGGCAATTTACAAGATTTGCCTAGTATGTGTGAGGAAGGCCTGGGTTAAATTCCCAGTACTGAAAAAGATCCATATGCCTGGGTTCAGGGAGCTTCCAGTTATTGGATATATGGAAATCTCCAGTCAGTAGTGTACCCAGTGAGTGCAGAGTACCACCTTTCTTCCTATACTGCACCCAATGCATGTCTTCATTTGTATCCTGTGTAATATCCTTTATACTTTGGTAAATGTAAGTAAGTTTTTTGAGTTATATTGCCCATCTAACAAATTAATCAACCCCAAGAAGATGGTTATGGGAACTCCAACTTATTTTTGGTACTAGGAATTGAAACGAGGACCTTTAGGGGCTGGGGATGTAGCTCAGTGGTGCCACACCTGTCTGGCAAGTGCAAGGTCCTGAGTTCAATCCCTGGTACTGCAAAAAATAAAAAAGGACGTTTTTATTGCAAAGTTGTTAAGTTGCCCAGGATGGGCTTGAAGTTGCCAGCCTCCTGCCTCAGCTTCCCAGAGTACTAGAATTACAGGGATGTACCACCACGTCCAGCATGGGAACCCAAATTTAGATCCAGACTGGTCAGAAGTTCTGGAGTCCTGTGCTTCATGCCTTTGTCTATAGTGTATGTGTACATGGGGGTGAGGTAAGTCTCATGGGACGGAGTCCTCAATCTGTGGGATCGACCTTACCGCCAGCCAGACAGTATCAGAATTGAACTGAGTAAAAGGACATGCTGCTGGTGGCCTCTGCTGCTGAAGGACTGTTTGGGCATGAAGGAGAGGGACAAAACTCCTATACATTTGAGGTCACAGAAATATTTTGTGTTGTGAAAATATAGAAGAAATTGAGTTTGTTATTTCCTGTATTCTTAGATAAAATGAGTAAGTTTCAGACATTGTACTTAAAGGAAGAAGTCTTATACAAAGGATTACATATTGTAGGATTCTGTTTGTATAATGTTCCTGAACAGGTTAAACCTAATCAATGGTAAAAAAAATAATCACAATAATGAGCTGGGCTTGGTGGTACATGCCCGTAACCCCAGCATTTTAGAGGCCTAGGCAGGAGAATCACAAATTCGAGGCCAGCCTAGGGTACATGATGAATTCAAGGACAGGCTGATAGTTTGAGAAACTATCTCAAAAAACAAAAACAACAACAACAAAATAACCATAACAATGGTTGCCTCTAGAGAGAAAGGATGACAGGAAAGAGATTCAGGGAATTTTCTGGAGTATTAAAAAATATTTCTTCAAGGGCTGGGGATTAAGCTCAGTGGCACTATGCCTGCCTCACAAGCACAAGGTCATGAGTTCAATCTCCGGTACCAAAAAAAAAAAAAAAATGTTCTTTCAGTATCTTGTTTGAGGTACATGGCTGTATGCATTTGGCACAACTCAACAAGTGATGTGAGATCTGTGCACACCACTACATATCAATTTAATCTCAAAAAACTAAGAAAAAAACTGTCAAAGGACAAAAATTACCACAACTTTAAAGATCTTAATTGGCTTCTATTTGCAATTATAAAGTCAGTCAGCACTTCATTCTGTAAAGTAGAATGAATGTTCTGATGAGCTGAGCAGGCTTGGCTTAATAGGCAGAGAAGGGCTGAAGAAAACAGAAGCCAAGAACAAAAGGAAGATTGGTCATTTCAGAGTTACTTTCCTTGTGAAGATTAAATCAGAGGGGACATCCTTCTGATGCTGGCTAAATCTGACTTGTTTGGTGGTTTGTTACCCCATTCTCCTGATTTTTCAAATGAACAACTTAGTTTCAGCCTAGTGACTTGGAATGTTAGCATGAATGACTCCATTTTCATTTGGCCTATTGAACCTTTCTTTTAGTTTGTTCATTCCAAACCAATGACCCCCTATAAGTTTTACCTAACATAACTAAAAATGAATACTGAATGCTAGTTAATGATATGCATGCTGAAGTGTTTATAGGTAAACTCTGCCATTTCTTTGAAATGTATCAAAAAATAAGATGAATGGCTGGAAAGACAGAGGAACAGATGAATAAATATGTAACAAAGCATGTATAGCAAATAATTAACTTAATAAATCTAGGTGGGTATGTTGTGGAAAGAATTGGTAATTGATACACACAGAGATGCAGACTGGAAGTAAAATAACAAAAGGTTTATTTTGTCAAAAAAAGGCCAATCACATGTCGGGTGTGGTGGTGCACGCCTGTAATCCCAGCACTCAGGAGGCTGAGGCAGGAGGATCGCTGTGAGTTCGAGACCAGTCTGGGCTACACAGTGAGTTCCAGGTCAGTCTCAACTATATAGTGAGACCCTGTCTCAAAAAAGC